TTTAAATTAAATAGTTCTGACCACTTAGCATCACATAAAAGTAATGAGTCATTTGCATATTGTAAGTGGGAAACTACCACTTTCTTATCACCAAAAACTACTCCTTTCAGTAGTCCCAACTCCCTAGCTCTCACAAGTAATATATTCAGCCCTTCTACAACCACGTTAAATAAGAATGGAGATAATGAATCCCCTTGTCTAAGGCCTTTTTGATGACTAAACTCTTTAGTTGGTGAACCATTTACAATTATTGTCATTCTAGTTGAAGAGACACATTCTTTCATCCAATAGATCTATTTTGAGCCAAAGCCAAAGTTAGATAGCATTGAGCATAGGAATTCCCAGTTGATGAAGTCATAAGCCTTCTTAAAATCAATTTTAAATAGCAACCCTTTTTTCTTGGTTTCTTTCCATCCATCCACAATTTCATTTACAATCAATACCCCCAATTACCACTGGCATGACTTTTTCAAGTGTACTTGCTAGGACCTTGGTGAGTATTTTATACACTGACCCTATTAAACTTATTGTCCTATACTCGTTTAAGTTAATTGCATTGTCTTTCTTTGGAATGAGGGTGATGAATGAGCTGTTCAAACCAATAGTCAATCTGCATCTATCATGGAACTCTTTCACAAAGAGCATCACATCTTCTTTGAGTACCTTCTAATTTTTCTGAAAAAACAATAAATTGAAACCATCTGGTCCTGGAGCTTTGTTTCCATTGCACTCTTTGACAGTTGCCCAGATCTTATCTTCAGAAAATTATGTTTCAAGCATTTGAAATGAATCTCTTTGCCTCACACTCTTGAAATCACCAACTAACACTAGTCTGTTCCTCCACTCTTTTTAGAAATGCTTTATATAGTGGATCCACACCTCTTTGTTTACCTGATTTGGCTCCTCAAGAATCGTATCCCCAATTGCAATGGAGTTGAGAGCATTTCTATTTTGTCTACTAGTAGCCATGACATGAAAAAAATCTAGTATTCCTGCCTCCTTTCATATTCCAGTCCAACCTTGACTTTTGAAGCCATGCACATTCCATCATCCTACTTAACCTCCACATTTCATTCCTTGCCTCTCTTTTTTGTTTCACTTTTGCCTCCTCCAGAGGTTTAACTTCAGCCCTCAGATCTAAGGCATTTAGCTCATCTTCGGTTCCTTTTAGTTTTGTTGCAACATTACCATATACCTCTGTATTCCATTGTTTTAATGCCATCTTTAAAGCATGTAATTTCCTTTGCAAAATGTACCTAGCAACCCCTTGAAACTGTAATTCCTTCTAGCTTTTCTCCACAAAAGGTGCATAATTTGAGTGCAAGATCCAAGTATTCAAGAATTTAAAAGGTTTGGGACCTCAATCTCTCTCATCCTCCATAAGCATTATTAGGCAATGATCAGATACCATCCTCGGCAAGTGTCAAAGTTTGAATTTATATCTCTTAAACCACTTAGGACTAAGAAGAAACCTGTCAAGTCTACTTCATTTATTCCAACCCAGGGCCGGCTTTGAGATTTGTGGGGCCTAAGGCGAACTATGAAAATGGGGCCCCTCTAATATATAATTTTTTTTAATAAAAAATTTATGCATAAAATGATAAGTATCCACAAATTTTTTATTTAAGTATACTTGAACATATAATCATTAAAATTATAAACTAAAATTTACTTTCATATATTAAGATAGGAAGAAATCAGTACAATGACTCAAAAACATTAAAAACTGGTTTTGTTGCGTTATAGTTTAGCAATATCCAGTTTACAATTAACCCAACGATCACTTAAATACTACTCTTCTTGCATTTTTAGCTGCAAAATCACTAATTAAGTTTGTATAATCTAATTTATCTACCAAATCCTTTTCAATAGACAATATAGCTAATCCATTCAATCTTTCTTGTGACATTGTCAATCGAAGGTAGGATTTGATCAATTTTAACTTTGAAAAACTTCTTTCTCCAGAGGCAACGGTAACTGGAATAGTCAATAATATTCTATACGCAATCCAGGCATTTGGAAAACAACCATCCATCAATTTCAAATAATTCATCACCTCAATTGGCCTATTGATTTCTTTTGGCAAAACTTCTTTGAAGGCTTTCAACTCAGAAAATAAATCTCTCCCATCAACATCCATAAGTCCCTCATGTTTCAAAAAGTCTTCAAGTTTAGCACAATAAGTCTTCAAGCACTCATCATCGGTAGAATTTAACTTTTTCAAATCAAACAAATATCCAAAAGTTTCTTCATATATTTGAAATTATTTAAATCTACTCTTAAGTGAAGAAAGAGCTTGATCTATTATATGTATGAAGTAATTAACTCTAAAGGAGTCTTCAGCTATAGCAATCCCGATTTTCCCTTTCTGTATTTGTTGTATTTCGGACTTAGGTTCCGTGGAGTTGGTGGTTGTATACCTTCTTGTCATCCTTTAATTCCATATGTTTGAGTTTTAGGATGTGTTGGGCGTGTTTCGAACAGGTAGGTTGAGTTTTTGTCTCAAATGTTATTGCCCAGGTTTTTGGTGTTACGCTCGAGCGGGTCTTTCTGCGCTCGAGCGGAGTTTGGTTTTTGGTTGTCTGCTCGAGCGGGCCTTCTTGCGCTCGAGCGGAGTTTACACCCTTCTAGTATTTCGTGCCCCTACAAAACTTCTGCAGATGTGATTTCTACGCTTGAGCGGGTTTCCTTACGCTCGAGCGGTCGCGCTCGAGCGGGCTTGTTGGCGCTCGAGCGGGTGGTTCTTTTTCTGAAATGGGAGATGAAAATTTGCGCTCGAGCGGACTGGTCTTTCATGCTCGAGCGGATGTGTTTCGCTTTTGTTTCTTGGCACTCAAGCGGGCCTTCTTGCGCTTGAGCAGGACCAGATTTTTGTTCTTGATGCTCGAGCGTTCTATTCTCCGCTCGAGCGGGTCATACATATATCAGAGGGTCGCTAGGCATTTTTGAATCACTTTTTACACTTCCTCTCTCTCTCTTACTTTCCCAAAATTGATTTTGAGAGTTCCTCTCTCTAGGATCTCCCTTCTCTCTAGGGTTTGATCTAGTTAGAGTGTCCCCCTATCCTTCGGCCTTTGTAAAAAGTGTGTTGATCGTCGAGGGCTTTGTTTTGATCCAAAAAGTTTGGAGTTTGGAGTTTGGAGCACGTTGGTTTTTGATCTTCATCTCTGTTTGAGCTCAAACTTTGAGGTAGGGATATCCTACTCCTCCTTATGGGCTTTGTCTATAAATTTTAGCATTTTGATATGTTGGGGGTTGTCGGGTAATTTTGAGAAAGTTTGGGCCTTTATGTAATTTTACAAAAGAAGGGGGTTTTACTTATGTAAACCTATATGCATGTTTAGCATGGAGAAATGAGGTAAATGTTGGGTTATTGATAGAAATGGAACCTTAGGGTTGTTTTGTTAATTATGGGAAATGCCATAATTACATTGATAAATTAATTTGTAAAAATTAATTTTGAGAAATGAGAAATTGAATTGAGAATGTTGAAATTGGGAATGTATGGGATTAAAGGGTGTAGTTGGATCATTTATAACTCACCTAGTTGAAATGTTGATATTTTATACATTTGGAGCATTTATTTTCTGTTTAGAAATAACTGCTTTGGGCTATCGGTGGAGGATAGTCTTGATTGTTGTAGACAATGCATGATGATTAGGTAAACTAAAACTAATCGATTGAGTATGCTAACAAATATAGCAGTTGGAATAATACATTAACTTTATGTATTGATTGATTATGTATATGATCTACGTTTATATACATTGTGTGTGTGTGGGAGGAGACAGGGGATGTACTCCACGGTTTAGGGGAAGATAGAGGATGGACTTCTAAATCGGATTTTGTTTGACATTGATACAGCACTACAATGTGTATCAAGTGTGGATTATGGAAGTGTTTGAATTGATTTGATATAGCACTAAAATGTATATCGTTATCAATTGTGAAATATAGAAGTACTTTTATGTTATATTGGTACAGCACCAAAATGTGTATTTTTCGTAAAGTATGGAAGTGGTTTATGGGTTATTGATACAGCACCAAAATATGAATTTCAAAAGTGTTTTAAAGATGAGTCATAATCTCATTAAGTTATTTGGCTAGGTTCTGAGCCTTGTTTTCAAACTCAAAGTTGAAAAAGAAGTGGGAAATGAAATGTAACATGGACTTGAATGTCATGGAACCGTAATGTGTTATAAGTGGGAATATAAGTGAGGAGCATCTATCGAATGCTGTTATTTTAGTCATTGTTTATAGTTGGTTTAGTGTATTTCTACTGGGCTGTGGCTCACCCTATATGGGACATCATTTTCAGGTGCAGGTAGCATGCCACCTCCAAGGACATAGCTTGGGAGGCTAGAGGCTGACAGACCGTTGGTTGTTTGGTTCTCTTTTTGATGTATTACATGTAAATTCAAGCCAAGGGCTTAATATGCAATTGAGTTAGTACTCTTTTTTTTGTAACCAAGTGTTAACTTTGAAAGCTGTAAGCCCGTAGGGCATTTGCTTTTGTTATTAACATGTAATACTGTTGAAAGAACTACACTGATGAATAGAAAGGTGATGATTTCTCTTATATCATTGCATATCTAATATGATGGGTTTTATGCATTATTTTTTGAGGGTGTTACTTCAGCTGATTGTGCAACCTCTTCACTAACATTCTCATCAAAATGTTTCTTTCTATGAATGACACACCTTTCACGAAATGCAGGTTCAATCTCCATTTCAATTGCACCTTCTTTCGCTTCAATCATGGCCTCCAAAAATCCAATTTCTCTATACTTTTCAAGAAATGTAATGAGTCCTTTTAATTGATGTATAGCAACATCAATATACATGTCTTCAGCTTGAAATGTCTTGCTAACAAAATTGGTAGCAAACAACAGATTGTACTAGATAATAATGCCAAGCAAAAACTCAAAGTTTTCAATTTCAGATGTAACTAAGGATTGAGCTTCACACTTTGTATTGGGCTCATCAGATTCCTTTTCCAACTAAATGAAAGCATCTCTAATTTGTGGAGCTTGGTACCGTATAGCTTTAACACTTTCAATGCGACTTTCCCAACGAGTTTGTGATAATGGCTTAAGTGTGAGACCTTCCACATTGTCTCTGAAAATTTTCCACCTCTGTGTAGAAGATGAAAACAACACATATATGCATTGTACCACTCCAAAGAAATAGATGGCTTTGGAACAATAGGTAGCCATATCACAAAGGGCAAGATTAAGACTATGACACCCACATGGCGTGTAGAATGCTCTTGGATTTATTTCAAGTACTCTTTTTTGTACACCTTTGTGTCTCTCTTTAATATTAGAGCCATTATCATATCCTTGCCCTCTTATATCACCAATATCAAGTTGGAGTATGTGTAATGCCTTTCTAAGTACAATAAAAAGTCCCAACCCTGATGTATCATCCACCTTCAATTTTTCTATCTTTACCGGACTAGTTGAAACATTTACGCATCTTATCACAAGAGACATTTCTTCTTCATGACTAACATCTGGAGTACAATCAAGAATAATTGAAAAATATTTCGTTTCTTTGATTCTTGCCACAATCGTACTCCTGATCTCACTCGCTAACATCTGTATCAATTCATTTTGGATTTTGTGACCAAGATAATGGTAATGAATTTCACTCCTTTGAATATGTTGAATGTGCTTTTGCATTACTGGATCAAATTTGGCAAGCATTTCAATTAAGCTTAAAAAGATTCCATTTCTTTCTTGATAAATCTTCTCATTGTCTCTATGAAAAGCTAAATTATTTTTAGCAAGAGTGATCACAATAGCAATTATCCTTAGTAACACTTGTCTCCAGTGTTCTCTCTCTTTGTTGATTTGTTCTTGAACACTTCTATCATTTGTTTCATTCTTCTTCAATCTACTTTCCAATTCAAGCCATTTGCTCATGCATATAAAGTGCTCATTACTAGTTTCATGACTTCTAAGCCTGTTGCCCATATTCTTCCAATCTTTCAATCCATCAATAGCCAAACGAATATTGTTCCCATCTTGCTTAAACAACTTGCAACAAAAGAAAAACACTTTGTCTGAAGCATCTGAATATACTAGCCACTTCTTATCCTGCTTCTCTCTATTTTGTAACTGTTGCATGTAAAATGTAGAAGAAAAATGCCTATCTTTGTCAGCTAGGGGAAAATTCACACCATTACCTCTTATAGGACCTCTTTTAACTAATAAATCCCTTAAATTTTGATCAATCTTGTCCCAATTACTAGGGTCATAAATGTTTAGAGGTCCACATTCAACATTGGCATCTTCACTTTCACTAGATTCTACATTCCCCAAATCTTCATTCTCATTCCCATTCTTATTCATATGTTCACTAGGTTATTCAATCACCAAATCATCATTCTCATTATTATTCACACAATGAGTAGGTTCTTTAATTACCAAATCTTCATCATCATTGTCATTTGAACCGAAAATATCTACTTGTTTCTTGGTACCAAAATATTTATCAAGTGCTCCTGATTGAGATTGAATTAATTGTTCTACTTTCATCCTCTTCTTTCTCTTTTCATTTCTAGAACTATACTTCCTAGGAAACATGGCTATAATCACAAACACTTCAATCCACAAATCGCAAACACTTCAAATCAATCCACAAATCACAATCCACTGATCTGATAGAAAATAAATTATAAAAAAATAGTTTAATGAAACAAAATTAGGGAAAAAAATTTATTCAATTAAAACTAATAAATACCTAGGTAAAAAAAGGTAAAAAAAAAAATTAGGGCAAATTTATTATTTCACTAATTGATAGAGAAAGAATATAGAAAAAAAAATTTGGGCAACTTTATTTAACAAAATTTGATAGTGAGAGAGAGGACTTACCATGAGAGAGAGTGTGTGAGAGATAGAGTAAGTCGCTGGAGGAGTGTGTGAAAGAGAGAGAGTGAGTCGCTCACAATGCTGTGCTCTGCATCTGCTTTCAACATGGTGTACATACTTCCGTCTTCATTTCATCACTTTGTTAAAGAGAGAGATTGAAAGCAGAAGCAGACTAGCAGTGCAATAAAGTGATGTTGTATATCGTATGTATGGTTTGGGTTGGGCCCAAACACTTTTTCTGTTTTTGTTTTTTTGTTTTTTTTTTTTGTTTTTTCATCTTAATAAATATGGGCCAAACACATTTATAAATAAATATGGGATAAATTATACATGGGACCAATAAAACATTTTGGGGCCCTTTAAATTGATCTTAAAAAAAAAGAAAAAAGGTTAGGCCTATAACAATTTTTTTAAATTTGGAGGCCCTATTTTTCGGCCAAAATTTGGGACCTAAGGCACACGCCTTACCTGCCTTAGGTCAGGGCCGGCCCTGTTCCCACCATATGCATTACACCAAGTGAATTTTCTCCCTACCATTTGCATATCAGCCACATCACATCTATCTATGAACTCATTAAATTCTCTCATGCCTCTATCCCTTAATAAGTTTCCTATTTTTTTCTCCCAAATTTATGATCTCATTGAAGTCACCACCAAGACACCATGGCTTTGGAAAGGTAGCATTCAGATTTAATAGGGACTCCCATAACTTACCTTTTCTTATAGTATCATTAGGAGCGTGAATATTTAAAATGACACAGTCAAAAGAATTAAGAATGGTACCTGAGAGCAAGATGAAGTTTCTATTGCTACAATAATCTGAGAGTTGAAAGATTTCAGGATCCCAGATGCATAACAATCCACCAGCCACACCCACTATATCCATATTCATGAATTCCAATTTATTTCTTGGCTACAAACTTCTTACACCCGAGCTGGACGTGCCTGATTTTTTTATTTCTTGAATCAAGGCCATATCAATTTTTCTATCAAACAAAAGTTTCTTAATCTTTCTCTTCTATTCAGGCCTTCCAAGCCGTCTAATATTCCAACTTAGTATCTTCCTAACAACAATTTTGGCTCTAAATCCTCCCAACATTACTGGTTGCACAGCCTCATCAATCCCCCATCACTACAACAAAACTGGGTTTTATGGCTTCACATCAACGACATATAGTAAATGCAAGCCGTGATTTCTCACTTTTACGGCTTTTTTTTTGCATGTCGTAAGTAATGTCCTAACTATGACGTGTCTATTGCATAGGCTGTGAATGCTAATAACGATGATTTTTTTACGGCTTGCAATGTTTGCCATAAATAATAAAACTTTTTATGACATGCATATGGCATACCGTTAATATATCCACTATGCACAACACATGTAGGCCAGCCATCAAAAATATTACACTTTTAACAATGCACAAAAACCCAGGCAATCCCATCCAGAGAGTGTTGGGAGGCTCTGGCTATTAAGTAATGCAATTAAAGATAAAAAAAAAGGAAAAAAAAAAGAAAAACCTAATAAAAGTGTATATATGTATATTTATTCATTTTTCTAATTGAGTACATAGGACAAGGAAAACTCTTGTAATAACTGAGTGAAGGTAGTGCTGCAGGGGACGAGAAATATTTTTCTTTTTTTGTTACTATATTATTAATAATTTATGTACTTTGACAACAAATTTAGAAATTATAGAGTTAAGCTGTGCTAAACAGCTTGACTATATGATGGTCCTTTTTTCTTTAATGAGGTTTGATTGATCTAAGTTCTTATTGCTTACAATCAATCTATATTTGAGTTTAGATTTTGATTTCGTGATTGGGCAAACAAATGTGGAGGCGTTTTGGCTCTTCCATTTGAAACTAAATTAATATTTTTGTTTGTAAGTCTTACTTATGTTTGCTAACTTTAACTTTCAGGTTTTAAGAAATTGTTGATATACTAAAAGCAACTAGATATGTAACGCATGTTAGGAGGGGTGCGGATAGAGCAGAAATATATGGCCTGGCATTCTCTTCAGCTGCACAGTGGCTGGCAGTCTCAAGTGACTAGGGAACTGTCCATGTTTTCAGTCTTAAGGTTAATTTGGAAACCTAGGGAGTGATAAGTCACATGATGCATCTGATCTTAATCGTTCTATTTCATCACCCACCTCATCTCTCTCTCTCTCTCTCTCTCTCTCTCTCTCTCTCTCTCTCTCTTATAAAAGGTAAGATTCCTTTCTTAAATCAATGGTGAACGTGCCATTTTTTCCCCCTTTCATTAATTACTTTCTAGCACATTGCAACTCTTCTGCAATTAGCTGGAGACATTGAAATTGCTTATGACTAGGCATGTTTCATTTTTGTTGTTGGCATTTGAAGGAAAATCTCTAATTGAGGCAATTGCAGAAATTGTTGTCATTAAAATGATGGAGAGAAATTGGATCAATACTATTAAATGAAATTGTGAAAAGAATCCTTTCTGTGCATCAAGCAATGTAAGAGATTGACATGTAGTCCTTTGAATAAGGAAACATATAAACTTAAATGGCATGAACACAACGAATTTGTTTCTTTTTTGAAGAAGCCTGATTTTCCTCTTTTTTTTTTTTTTCTTCCTTAAACTAAAATAAAAAACAAAAAGATGAAAGTATTACACAATAGCAGAACACTTCACTCTCTTAGTTAACTTTTCACTTGCATTTCTTGAACATGCTGGAAAAGAATTACAAGTTAACTCTTTAATGAGGTCAATGAAGTTACACATGAAGTCATTTAGGGGAAAGCTCATTGGTGGACTAAGAATACACCAAATGATTAGTTCCTTATAATGGTTGCTTTTGCATTTCCCAAATATATTTTGTGCTCTTCAATGATCAATGTTGCCTTTGTTGTTGACAATGCATCAAGGTCTTGATTCTTGAAGAAGGAACTCTAGACATTTTAATTGGTAGAACTTCACAGATAGCTTCTTCTTTTTTTTTCTCCAAAACACTCTGGTCATCTTAGATGTTTTGGATATTTGCTAAATAGTGATCACGTAAACATATATTATGCCCTTCTGTCCTTAGTTTGAGTTTTAACTTTTGATCCACTCTGATACTTAAAATTATTTTGGTTTTTCTGTATTTTCTGTGGTTCGATTAATTATTACTGGACGATAACTAATAGATAGCAAGTATGCTATCAAGTTTAAGGACTCAAAAGTAGCAATGAGTTCTATGCTTTTTCCGTTGAAGGTTAAATATAAATTTTGTATCTTTGGTAGCAAGATTTAAGTTTGCTACTCATTTTGCAGGAGTGTTGCCCAAGTATTTCAGCTCATTGTGGTCTATCGCTCAGTTTCGTTTGCTTGAAGGTTCTCAATACATTGTTGCATTTGGCCACCAAAAGAATACCGTGGTAATTCTTGGCTTAGATGGAAGGTGAGTGTACTTTAGAAAAATCGTTGTGTTACTTCTAATATAATGATTTAGTACTTTAGAAACATCCTATTATTTTTATTTCAACTTCAAATATTTGTAAGTAGCACATTGGTAGGTTGACCCCGCTGTCACTTAGGGTGTGTTTGAAGGTAGTGTCACTTGAACTACACTAAAGCATTCATCTTAAAGTTAATTTCGTTTTCTACAAACCAACCTCCCATCTAAATTGAGCAACCATCATTTCTGTGGTTATTGGATAGAGAACTCAGCTATATCAACTTACCTTCCCTCTGGGATGTTGGTCTCCTTTTCTTTTTAGTGTATTTATATCGAGGATATGGTGGAAAGCTTGCCCTATAGCCTCCCTTGCATACTTATGGTATTGTATATATTGATGGTTTTGATAAGTTGTGCAGTCATGCAATAGGAACCGAATCCTATTTTATTCCAAAACATTTATTTTATATAGGGGTAAAACAATACAGCATATAGCTTCACAAATTGGCAACTATCATATTCTCTGAAACTCTAAAGTTAATATATTAGTTCACTGAACAAAGGTAAATAAAAAACAAAATATCTACATGGTGCAATGTGATATGTAGGCAAGATTATAAGAAGGTTATTGACAATAGGCTTTAGTACAAGCTTTCTGCAACTGTGCGTTGTTGCACATGGAGATGATGTGTTGGAATTAGAGCTATCCTAGGCAAAAATTAGTGCTAAGTGATAACTTTATGATCGTTATTATGAAGTGATCAAATAAGTTTAATTCATGCAAATATGAGCCGCTATCTTATTTTCTTGGGAGGGAGTACTTTATCCATGCTTATGATCCAATATATGTTGGGAGGGAGTACTTTACCCATGTTTATCAAATCAGTTCAATATATGTTGTTTCTACTGATGTTGTTTCAAGCTTGGTTGCTCTAAGAAGGGAAGCTTTTGAAGACGAAATTCAAGCTGCTCAGAATTTTCTGATATAAAGATATGGAGGGCACAAGCTGAGTGTTGATGCAATTGTATCAACCCATGATGGTGCATTCGTAAGAAGATTGTAAATTTTGTATTGTT